CCCTTCCTTCCCTCCCAAAAAAGTAAATAAATAAAATCTTTTAAAAAATTAAAAAATTAAAAAACAAAAACTATTGTTAAAAAAAAAAAAGAATGCAGATGTCATTCAGTGCTCGTGGAGCTAGTAAAACTCAGGATGGCATCCAGGGGCAGAGGCAGAGGGGGAGAGTAGGGCCTGTGGCGCAGAAACAGCTGGAGCTGTTTGGGAAAGAAGGACGCCCCCCCCCGAAACTGAATATGCAGTGCAAATCCCCCCACGTCCCAGCTCACATTAACAACGCCGTCTGCACACACACACACCCCTGGACTAGCCTGGGACCCCACACCCGTCCGTGGGTGGACATGACGTAGACACTGACCTGCTGAGGCGGAAGAGCGGGGCTGGCGAGCACACCCCCTGAGCCCCCCGAGGTCCCAGGAATTGTGGGGAGACCTAAACCAGCCCCGTTTGTCGGATGGAGAGTAAAATTAATCCCATCTAGAGCTGTAACGTGTAGTTATTTCTCAGAATTAGCCACGCGCCTGGTTTAAGGATGCGCGTAGCTCCTCGTGGGTTGGTAGCAGTCCACCTCTCTCCTGCCTGGAGGCGACCACATTTCCCTCTTCAAGCTGACGGCCTCGGTGTTTGCCTTCACGTCTCTGCAGAAATAACACGCGTGTGTGACGGCTTCTCGACCTGGCAGCTCCGGTCCTCATCTGTTGGTTTTCCCCTAGAGAGGAGGAGGACTTGCCCTTCCTCCCTGCCCCCCATGCCCCCACGCCCCCACGCACACTCTCAGCAACTCAACGATAATCTTGGTTAGCTCAGGATTCAGCCTTGCGCCATTGCAACTGCTCAGCCGCCGTTCCCAGCGCAGGCGAGGTGTGAAGGGAGCTTTTGCTCTGGCACACCTTCCTTTGCCCCGGAGCTTTTGGGGGGATTTTTTCATTTGCTTAGTTGTCGATAAATGTATCCCTATTTTAACCCTAAATGTTTTACTATTTCTCTAAAACTCTTAAGATTTGTGGCTACGACACACCTCACGAGGGTCTGAGCAATGTGCTCATCAATTACTTTTTTTTTAACTTTTCTTTTTAATTTATTATTTATTTTTAGAGAGAGAAGGGAGGGAGAAAGAGAAAGAGTGAAACATCCATGTGTGGTTGCCTCTTGCATGGCCCCCACTGGGGACCTGGCCTGCAACCCAGGCATGTGCCCTGACTGGGAATCGAACCTGCAACCCTTTGGTTCGCAGCCCGCACTCAATCCACCGAGCTATGCCAGCCAGGGCTTTCATCAATTACTTTTTCATTAGGAGATCTTACTATTTTACTTAGTCCCATTATAATGGATCATTAATTCATGATTCTATTTCATGGAACATTCAGTAACTGGAATACTAATAAACACACATTTCCATGTTAAAATGATTTGCACCATAATGTATATAACACTTTCATTTAGAAAAAAAATGACTGAAAAGATTTTTTAAATGTCTTCGGACTCAGCAGGTGCGCTGTCATTTTCATCTCCCTGAAGAGCGTGTCCCCATGGCTCGGAACCCCTCGTGGGGTTCCCCGGTGGGACTCCTGTGTCTTGGACCCCATGTCTCCCTACGCTTTGGTTTACGCCCTTGTTTTGATGGAGCACATCTTACAGTAGCTTTCTCAGAAAGGGGACGAGGGGTGCACAGTTTTAAAAATCTGGCACGGGCCCTGACTGGTATGGGTCAGGGGGTTGGGCATCGGCCGCAAAACCGAAAATCTGTCATGCGTGCCTGTTTTTTTATTCCACATTCGTGCTTGATGGATGGGTACCCATTGTTAGAAATAGTCTTCCATCAGCATTTGAAGAGGTTCTCTTTTCCATTCATATTACTTATGTATTGCTGTCATTTAAAATGAGCCCTGGCTAGTGTGGCTCAGTGGGTTGAGTGACGGCTTGTGAACTGACAGAGGGGTTGCCAATTCGCCTCCCAGTCAGGGCATGTGCCTGGCTGGCGGGCCAGGTCCCCAGTAGGGGGCGTGCGAGAGGCAACTGATTGATGTATCTCCTGCACATTGATGTTTCCCTCTCTTCCTCCCTCCCGTCCTCTGTCTAAAAATAAATAAATAAAATTTTATTAAAAAACAAACAAATAAATAAAATCTTTAAAAAATAAAGCCAGCGTACACCGAGTCTACAGGTTCACTAGCAGTGTCCAGGTAATAAAATATTACCTCGAAGCTTAGGGGGCAATATTTTCCAAAAAAATAGAACAACCCAGGACCCAGTGCGGGCTCTGTCTGGAGACCACCCACGCCCTTCTCCCCTCTCGGGTGTGTGTCCCTACTCTTCTCTCCTAAACTCTCAGGGTCCCCACGAGACTTTCCACCAGCGGAGCAGCAGGCAGTGGCAGCCGGTCCTGGGCTGCCCGCCTCATCCCGTCCCCAAGGCCCTCTTCTCTGACTCCCAGCGAGCTGACGCTGCTTCCTTCCACGATTCTCGGGAGCCGAAGCAGAGACCGCTGAGGCCCTCCCATTGCTGCTTCTACCCTAAGCCCTAAGCCCTGCCTCTGTTTCACTGTTCCCAGCTTTCACAAACGACTTTCATGAGTGAATAAATGAATGAGTGGCTGAATGAGTGAATGAATGAATGAATGAAACACAAAGTCTCCTGTTCCTTCCTCTCTTTCTCCTCTGAAGATATCAATGATTGTTTTGTTTGGGTTTGGGGCCCTTTCTTCTCCCTGCTTTGTTATTATGTATTCTTCCCTTGATTGGTTGATTTTTTTAAAGATTTTATTTATTTATCTTTAGAGAAGGAAGGGAAGGAGAAAGAGAGAGAGAGAGAAACATCAATGTGCAGTTGCTGGGGGCCGTGGCCTGCAATCCAGGCGTGTGCTCTGACAGGGAATCGAACCTGTGATGCTTTGGTTCCCAGCCCGTGCTCAATCCACTGAGCTACGCCAGCCAGGGCGATTGGTTGATGTTTTAAAAATCTTCCTCGTGTTTGAGGTTTTTCTCGGTGACCCTTAAATGTCCTGCTCTGGAGTCACTGAGACGGAGAGATCAGATCAGATCACTGGGGGGAAGAAGGGAGGAGCTGTGGGAGGAGTTTGCCGAAGCCATGGTCAGAGTCTAGGCCAGGATTGGCTGAGAAGCTAAACGCCTCCAGAGCACGTGGAAATAAAAGGAGGGCTGGCTCTCTGGCCCTCTCTTCCGCTGTGAGCACCCCTGGGCGATGGAGCTGCGGCTGCCTGAGTTCCCCAACAGGCAGTATTTTGGGTGGGAAGAAACTCCAGGAGCAGCCAACGGTCAGGCCGGCCTGGCAGAGGGTGGCAGGGTTATTCTTCTTTGTGCATTCTAGAAACCTGCCGTTCTTCCAAGACTGTGTCGCTTTTGTATATGTTGTTTTGGTTTGTTGTTGTTAGTTCGTAAACTAACCCTATAGAAGTGAGCCGAGCCCTGGCTGGTGTGGCTCAGTGGTGTAAGTGTCAGCCTCCCGGCTGAAAAGTGGCTGGTCTGACTCACAGTCAGGTTCACAGTCAGGGCACAAGCCTAGACTGCCAGCCAGGTCCCCGGTTGAGGGCGTTGAAGAGGCAACCGATTAATGTTTCTCTCCCGCAAAAGAAAAGAAACACCAAAGAAAAGAAAAAAACAAGATAACTAAAAACAATCAGGGTGAATGCTAGCAGAACTCAGGTGTTGGCGTTTAGCCTTAATTGATAGGCTTAAGTGATTAATGCTGCGGCTAAAGAGAAAATGCATTTAGGCTTAACTGACAGGCTTAAGTGACTAAGGCACGTGGAAAGCTGTTATTCCAACATTGTGAAGCTTTTGAATAAAGACTCCTTTGTCACCAAACCTTTGCCTCTGGAGTTTTGCCCAGAGGGTGGCGGGGGGCAGCGGGGCCCCCAGTTGCTGTTCGGTGCCATCCGCGTGGGTGCCAAGAAGCTCCAAGCGCCTGCCCGGGGCTTGTCAACTGCCCGTCACCGGGAGGGAGGCGGCCGAGCCACTGGCCTGTAGAACCTTCAATCAGTGTCTGCAGGTGGGTCTTTGCTCCTGGGCAGGTGCCGCTTCCCAGAAGAGAGGAAGAAGCCCGGACGGCCGCCAGGGTCTTGGAGCTGCGTCAGGAGGAAGCCTGGGCTCCCGGTGTCCACTCTGTTTGCTCAGGGCTGCTGCTCACCTGTCCCCTCCCCCACACTCACCTGGGCCCGGGACGCCCCCTGCTCTCCCTGTGAGAATCTGTCTCTGGGAGACTCGCACGCGTGTGGGGTCTCTGCCGACTCTCTCAGGCTCTCCCGCACATGTATGTATTTCGTTTGGTTATTTTCTCTTGCAAAAAAAAAAAATCAGTTTCCAAGTTTCTGCCGGGGTCAGGGGATAGGAAATAGGAAGTGGCTGTCTTCTTAACGCTTCCAGAAGGACTCGGTGCCACCAGTTCCGGAGGAGCCGAGTCCTGATCCCACCGCGAACCTGGGGTGGCTTTCGGGAGAGGTGCTGTCACCTGTCCACCTGTCCACCTGTCTGTCCGGCTTCCAGAAAGCTGATGCTGCCTCCCCTCCCGTGTGTGCCGTTCTCATTCTTGTGACTCAGGGGTTTTTTTGTTTGTCTTTGCACTTTTTTTAATTTATTGATTTTAAAGAGAGGGGGGAAGGGAGAGAGAAAGAGACATCAACTTATTCCAGTTACTTACACATTTCTTGGTTGATTCTTATAGGTGCTGTGACCGGGAATTGAACCTGCAACCTTGGTGTATGTGGACAATGCTCTAAGCACCCGGGCTATCCAACCAGGGCTGGACTCAGCTGTTTATAGCAAGTTTTCAGGAGAGAGCAAAAGGAGGTGCATGCGTGCACTGGTCCACCTCCACCTGGGGCGTCCCTGAGGAGAGCAGGGTCACGGAGGCCTGGGCAACTGTGAAAGCCGCTCACTGAGGACAAAACACAGAGGTCAAGGGCAAGGGCAGAGCCAGTACTTGCTCCCAGGGCTGGCTGCCCACCAGGTCCAGCTCCTGGCTCCCGAAGTGCCCTGTCCTCCCTGCCTTGCAGTCTGGGCGGCCAGGAGCCATGGGGTCGATTCCCAGAATTCCAGGGTCAGGACGGCTGGGGGCAGGGCCAGGTGCCGGACAAACAGTTCAAAGGTGAGGAGGCTGTGCGAAGGCAGAGCAGGCCCGGCCAGCAGGACCGGCACACCATGAGGTGGGTGGGCGCCCCCCCGCAGCCTCCCCGGCAAGGGCTGGGGGCGACGGCAGGCCTCTGGGTGGATGTGTCACCCACCCCCTGTGCTGCCCTCAGGCTGCTGATCCTCCTGGGCCTGCTGTGGGGCTCGGCGGCCGCGCCCCAGGGCCTGCCGTGGCCCAAGCCCGTGTTCGGGCGCCTGGCGTCCCCGGGCTTCCCGGAGAAGTACGCCAACGACCAGGAGCTGCGCTGGAACCTGACGGCGCCACCAGGCTACCGCCTGCGCCTCTACTTCACCCACTTCCACCTGGAGCTGTCCTACCTCTGCGAGTACGACTTCGTCAAGGTGCCGACGGGGCTGGGGGGAGGGGGGGACCGGGACGCCCGGGGGCAGGGCCCGGCCTCAGAGGGTGGGCGGGCCTCGGGCCTCGCTGCCACTCGCAGTGACCCCCGGCCCCACAGCTGAGCTCGGGACCCACGGTGCTGGCCACGCTGTGCGGCTGGGAGAGCACTGACACGGAGCGGGCCCCGGGCAACGACACCTTCTACTCGCCGGGCAACAGCCTGGAGGTGACCTTCCGCTCGGACTACTCCAACGAGAAGCCGTTCCGGGGCTTCGAGGCCTTTTACGCAGCCGAGGGTGAGCAGGCCCGAGGCGCTGGGGCGGCCCCCGGGCGCGGCTCTGTCTGAGGCCAGGCCAGGCCCCCGGTGGCCTCCCCACCCCCGGGGTGGGGGACAGCCGCCTCCCTCCTCTGAGCACATTCACCATGCACCTGTGCGTAAAATACCCGTGACAGCCAGACCTCCGCTCAGGGCCGAGCCCTGGCGGGCGCTGAGACAGGAACAACCCGCCCCCCCCCCCCGGGGCCCCGCGGTGACGCGTGGGCCCAGCAGTGAGCCTGGTCACAGGTGGGAAGGAGAGGCTCCTCCGGCTTGTGCTGAGAACGCCCGGTGCCCGGTACCTGCACGTGGGCTTCGAGTCTGGCCCTTGATTTCAGATTCTGGCTCCCGCAGGGACCAGCTGTGTGACCCTGGGCAAGTGGCCCACCCTCTCTGTGCTGTTCATGAGGGTGGGGTGGGCCTGTGTGGCAGGCCCGCCCACCGCCCCCCTGGGTTCCTTGCCTGGCGGCTCCCTTCACTGGCTGGGGACCTGGAGCAGGACACAGCCTGTCATCGGTTTTAAAAAGATGTTATTTCCTTCTTCCAAGTGTGATGGGGGGTGGCAAGGGCCCTGGGCTGCTAGTGATTGGCTGGGCGGCAGAGCCACCTTCTGACGTGAGGAGGCCCCTGGTCAGGTCAGCCCTGAGGCTGGAGGCGTCCTGAGCCCCGGCCCCAGTGCCGCCCCACCTCCTGCTGACCGCCTACCTGCCCGTCCCGCCCCTCCGCAGACATCGATGAGTGCCAGGTGGCCCCCGAAGAGGCGCCGCCCTGTGAGCACCATTGCCACAACCACCTGGGCGGCTTCCACTGCTCCTGCCGGGCGGGCTTCGCTCTCCACCAGAACAAGCGGACCTGCTCAGGTGAGCCCTGGCCACAAAGGGGACCCCGGACCCAGCCTGGCCCCCCTCCCTCAAGGCCGTGGCTGTTCTGTCCTGGGGGCTGGAGGCTGCGGCCCCTTTTCTGCTCTTCTGTCCCCTGCTTTTCTCCATCCACCCGTCCACCCACACTTTCCGATCCCTCCTCCCTCCCAGTCTTGGCTCGTCCCGGGTCCTTTGCAGTTTATTCACTGATTAGCGTGCGTTAGACCCCTACCGTGCACCTGGCCCAGCTGGGCTCTGGGACCCCATACAGCGCCCCCCTGGGGGGCTCCCAGTGTGGAGGAGTTGGGGGGGGTCTAGGCCCAGCTCACCCAAGCTCCCCTCTGCAAAAGCTCAGGATTGGGGCAGGGTCTGCTCACAGCCCCCAGGTCCTGGTGGCCAGCAGGACCTCTGCGGGCCCCCACTGCCTGAGGCTGCCCTTCCGCCCCTGCCAGACACCTGGTGCCCTGGGGGGTGGGGAGCCCCGCCCACCAGCACTGACCCTTCCTCCCCCCATCTGGTGTCCCTCCCCGTCTCTCTGTTCTCTCTTCCAGAGCAGACCCTCTAGGCTCCCCTTGCTCCGGCCTGCAGCGGGCCCCGCGGGCTGCAGCTCTGGGTCAGGGGAGAGCGCTGCCACCGGCAACCCCCGTCACCCCACCCGCAGAGCTAACAATAAACCTGGCTCCTCCTCCGCCTGCTGCTGCCCGTCTCTGGGGTGGGAAGGTGGGGGTGGCTGGGTGGGTGTTCACCCTGACCCCCTCCCCTCCTCCCCTCCCTCCCTCCCCTCATCATAGTCTGGATGAGTCTGGTTGGGGGGTGCCCCTCCACAAGGCCAGAGGCTCCTTGGCCAGAAGGCTCCCCACCCTTCTGAGGAGGCCAGAGAGAGGCAGAGACCTGCCTGGACTCGCCCAGGGGAAAAGGAGCTCTCTGTGCTTGCCCACCAGGTCCCCGGGGGCTAAGCTCTGAGCATCCTTGGACCGCCTCCTGTTCAGAGGGCAGCTCGGGCCGTGTGTGCTGGGCTGGGGGAGCCTGACCCGGAGCAGAGAGGCCCAGGGAGGTGGTCACTGGTGGGCAGCCTGGTCCCCACCTCCTGCGGCAATTCCCCCGTTCCCTGTGCCCACGGGGAGCGGCCCCAAGGAGAAAGGCAGGGTCGGGACCCCCCACTTCCTGGAAGCTGCCCAGCTCCAGGGCCTGCATGCCCCTCTGTGGCCTGGGAGGAGGGGGGCAGGCTGCCCCCCCCCGTGAATGATGGGGGTGCTCTGCAAGGGCAGAATCAGCTGTTCCAATGAGGGAAGGGGGTGTCCGTCTGACTAGTTCATGATCAGAGTGGATTTGAACTTCCCTCAACTGCCCCCCAGGGCAGAGCCCAGACTCGGGGAAGGCGGGCAAAGGGAGGCGCTTCCTGACCCCCTGACCGGTCCAGGTGGAGGGAGGCCCGGGGGAGGCTGGACTGGCCCTGGCTGCTCTCGGGGGTGGGGTGGTGGGAGCCCCAAGGTGGATGAACTTGGGAGTTGTTGGGGTCAGGGTGGGCCAGGGGCCCTCAGCCCAAGGGGACTCCCCTGCCCCCCCAAATCCCTGAGAAATAAGGAGACCCCCCCAATAGTGCCTTCACCCCCTCAGCGGAACCTGAGCACACACACCCCCCTTTGGGACTTGGCCCAGGGCCCTCCCCAATGGAAGCTTCAGCGTTAGGGCCCCCACCCTCTCGGGGGGGCGGGGGGTGGGGGCCCCTGGAAGATGTACACCCAAGTGTTGCCTTTTTATTTTTTAGCTAAAGCCCGGGAGCTAGAGAAACTCCTGCCTGGAGTTGTCCCTTCAGCGACGGGGCTGGGTCCCTGGCCCCCAGAGGCACCTCCGGAGCCGGCCCGCTGCGGTGTGTGCGGCCCGTGGGCAGAGCCCGCGGCCCCCCAGGCTCACACGCCCTGTCCTCTCCCCTCCCCAGCCCTGTGCTCAGGCCAGGTCTTCACCGCGCGGTCTGGGGTGATCAGCAGCCCCGAATACCCACGGCCGTACCCCAAACTCTCCAGTTGCACCTACAGCATCCGCCTGGAGGAGGGGTTCAGGGTCATCCTGGACTTCGTGGAGTCCTTCGACGTGGAGACGCACCCCGACGTCCAGTGCCCCTACGACTCCTTCAAGGTCTGGTTCTGGGGACCCCCACCTCAGCTGGCTCCCGCGGGTCCCGAGGTAACAGGGCCGTCTCCCCTTTCAGATTCAAACAGACACGGGGGAACACGGCCCCTTTTGTGGGAACACACTGCCCCCCAGGATTGAAACCAAGAGCAACTCCGTGACCATGACCTTCACTACCGACCAGTCGGGGGACCACCGGGGCTGGAAGGTGCACTACAGCAGCACGGGTGAGCGCAGGGCCCGGGCCGGACCCTGGGCCCCGGCGGGGGGTCAGGGGCACAGAGGGCCGGGCTCCCCCTGGCCAGGCCTGGGACACGTCAGGGGGGAAAAGGTGTCCTCGACCCCTGCGCATCACGGGGTGGGCCTGAAGAGTGAGCTGACAGATGAACAGGAGAAAAGCACAAGTTGGAGGCACAGGAGCCTCCACAAGGAGATGAAGCAGCAGGAAGAGCGAGACCTGAGTCATACCTGTACCCGTGCCCGGGAATCCCGCACGCGTGAGTGCCAGGGACCCCACGGGCGCCAGAGGTTCGAAGACAGGAAGGGAGCATGGGTGTGTGTGGCGTGGAGCTGGGGGCTGCCGCAGGCCAGCGCAGGGAGCACACGCGTCTCTAACCCACTGGCGCCCGCCCCGGAGACACGTCCGAGGAGGTGTTCCCTGCTCATCTCCTGGGCCGGGCGGGCGAGGCCCCTAATTCAGCTTCTAGGGAGTTGAGGGAGGAGTAGGGGTTTCTCTTGAGCCTGCAGCTAAAGTGGCATTACCGGATCGAAGGAGTCTGTTGGCCTGTCTGCATGGAAGCCCAGTGAGACAGGGGCAGGGGTGTGCTGCCACGAAAGGGAGGGTCTCTTTAGGGGCTGGCGCCATCCGTGCCTGGAGCCCCAGGTGGCTCCCCGACAGCTTCTGGGGAGGGAATGTGTCATATGGGGGGAAGACCACTAATCACGGGGGGCTGTGGAGTCCTCTGGGGTCGTGGTCTCTGCTGATTGGTTGGGGCACTCGGCCATTGCCTTTGGTCTGATGTCAGGCCCCAAGGTGTTCTGTCCACTTTCGCAAGGATTTGTTCTGTGGGATCGTTCCGCTTTCCTGGACCCAGAGATAGAACACTCACCTTGAGCCCGATATACCACGTGTACTTTGACTGAACACTCTGTCTCATTAGTCGATAGACAGGAACTGGCTTCTGAGACGCCTGGATGCTGACCAGAACTTCGCTGTCCTGAGGGCTTCATGAGGAAGCAAGGGAGAGGGAGGTGGGCGAGTCAGGGCAGAATAAAAGGCGGGGGCAGCCCTGGCTGGGGCGGCTCCGCGGAGATCCAGTTGGGGCACAGGCCTGGGTTGCGGGCCAGGTCTGCAGGTGGTGGGGGCGTGCGGGAGGCAACCGATCGATGTCTCTCCGGCCCATACACGTCTCTCCCTCCCTCTCTTTCTTTCTTTCTTTCCCCTCTCTCTGAAAATAAATAAATAACATCATTTTTAAAAAATAGGCCAGGTTAGCCCTGGCTGGCGTAGCTCAGTGGGTTGAGCGTGGGCTGGGAACCAAAGCATCGCAGGTTCGATTCCCAGTCAGGGCACATGCCTGGGTTGCAGGCCATGACCCCCAGCAACCACACATTGATGTTTCTCTCTCTCTCTCTCTCTCTCTCTTTCTCCCTCCCTTCCCTCTCCAAAAATTAAATAAATCTTAAAAAAAAATAAAAAAATAGTCCAGGTGAAAGAAACTAGGTTTCTGTGCAGTTAGTTAACTTCAGCTCAAAACCATCGGCACATCTTGGGTGACCTGTCCCGAACCCCCACCCACTCATCCATCCACCCATCTCTCCTTCCATCTGTGGGGAAGACAAAACCTGTAGAGAATTTTTAAATTTGTATCTATTGGTTTTGAGAGCGAGAGAGAGATCACTTTGTTGTTCCAGTGATTGATGCTTTTTGTACGTGCCCTGACCGGTGATCGAACCCACAACCTTGGCGTATCGGGACGATGCTCTACCCAGAGGAGCTGGCCAGCCAGGGCCCGGAGAATTCGTATGAGTTTATTTGAGCCAAAGCTGAGGACGTGGCTGGGGAGCAAGATCTGAAGTCTGCAGTTGCTTTTATGTATGCACTGGTGATTCAGGAGGGAACATCAGGAAGATTCCACGAAGGTCGGGAGGGGATGACAGGACCATGAAGACTCTGTGCTCTCCTGAGGGTGGTCGCCCTTTAAAAGGAGGAGGGTCTGAAGGGACACATTTCAGAGGTGCTTTGCCCTGGGTGCATAGAGAAGTTACAGGCCTGGGAGTCCCTGCCAGGACTGGCCCCGTAGGAATTTATGTTCAGATCACCCTGTGGGGGTACTTTCCACAGATGCCCTTTTTGTGTCCACAAGTAAGAAAAGTCCTAAAACTGCTTTGCTGGTTTTGGAGCGAGTCGGGGGAGAGTCCGTTCTGCCAGGCTGGTGGGCGAGACGGGCCAGGGCAGCCCTGAGCTGTGTGCCAAGGAGGGCGTGGGCAGGCCGCCGGCCTGGGCACCGGGGGCTTCGGGCAGCCCTGGGCTCCTGCAGGGCAGTCCCTGCAGACGGGGTCCCCCGAGGAGAGGCTCTGGGGCCTGCCAGGGCCTGGAAGCCACGCCAGCACACACAGGTCAGCCGCTGGAGGGAGGAGGGCACTCAGCAAACGACCCGGGAGTGCGGCGGGGCAGCCGTGGGGGGTGGGCTGGAGCCTTGGGGTGACAGCAGGCCGGCGGTCACAGCCCAAATGGAAGACAGTCCCCCTGGAGGCCGGAGCACTGGGGGCGGGAGCTCAGGAGGGGAGGCCTGAGGCTTCTCCCCGTGTGAGGGTCCACCGCAGCCCCCTTTCTGAGCTCTGAGCAGAGCCCCAGGCTGGGGGCTCCCCGCCCCACCCTCACAGCAGCCCTATGGGGTGGGCAGCCATCCCCAGCCCTCGCACCCTGCGTGCGGAGGGGTTGACAGCCGCTGCTGGGGACTGGGGACGGAGAGCTGTGGCTTCAACCCAGGCAGTCTGCGGCCTGTCCCTTGCGGTGACGCACTTCGGTCCGCAGCCGTGGGTGTGCAGTCCCTGGCGTGCCACAGACGCCCCCTTGGGGGTGGCTTTCTTACAAAGAACTTCAGAGGCTCAGTTCGGGCTCACCTGCCATTGAGCCGTCAGAACCCACCGCCCGGTTTCCTCCGCGCAGCTCAGCCTTGCCCTGATCCGGTGGCGCCACCTAATGGCCACGTCGTACCTGTGCAGGACAAGTACATCCTGAAAGACAGCTTCTCGGTCGTCTGCGAGACTGGCTATGAACTTCTGCAAGTAAGTTAACACACAACTTTAGGTGGACCGTGATCGCGATAGAAAAATCTTTTTTGAAGATTTTATTTATTTAGAGAGAGGGGAAGGGAGGGAGAGAGAGAGGAAGAGAAGCAGCGACGTGACCATCAATCGGCTGCCTCTCTCACGCACGCCAACCAGGGACGAGGCCCGTGACGCGGCGTGTGACCCGACCAGGACTTGGTGGGAGACCTTTCACTTTGTGGGGTAACGCCCAGCTCACGCTGGCCAGCCTGATGGACAGTTTTTATTTTTTTTAAGTGCAAATTTTATTTTATTTTTGTCCTTACTTGAGGACATTTTTTTTTCATTTATTTTTAGAGAGAGGAAGGGAGGGAGAGGGGGAGAGAGAAACATCAGTTGGTTGCCTCCATACAGGCCTTGATGGGGGATCGAACCCACAACCTAGGTATGTGCCCTGACCAGAGATCAAACCCTCAGACTTTTGGTTTATGGGATGACGCTCCAACCAACCGAGCCACACCAGCCAGGGCAGATCGTGACAGTTTTTACACATACTTACTCTTGTCAGCAAATACATGAAAGGAAAGTGGGAAATTAGCCATGGTCCAGAATGGTGGGTTTTTTTGTTTGTTTGTCTATGACTACATAAAAGTCTGAGAGGTGACGCTGACGGGGAAGATGGCTATGGAGAATTTTTTATTCTTAGGATGACCTTTACGTGAAACAACTCCTGGGCCCACCAAAAATTAAGCAGCCCTGGGAAACAGTATATTCCGCAAAGTTATAAATAGCGGCCACTGTTGAGGGAGAAGGGGGGTAATTTTTTTTTAATGCTTAGTGGGTGTTTTAGGGCACGGGTAGGAGATTAACACGTCTTCTTTCTGTTCCAAAACTGTCGCCGAATCCCAGCGGCAAAAAGCACCAGGAGTAACAGGGAAATGACAGCGGGGGTCGGCAGTCCGGGCCTGTGGAGGGGCCACACAGAGAATATGGGGGGTCAGGGGGCACTCTTCCTACCGCATAAACTTTTGGGGTGGGCTCTTTCCCACAGCTCCTTGGACTGCAAACCTGTTTGGTTGCTCATTTTATTTTTTATTGTATTTTTTTCCCATTACCATTTTAAAAAGGATCCCCTTTACCTCCTTCCCTCCCTTCCCCCTTGAGTGCTCATTTAAAAAAAAAAAAAAATGGCCCTGGCCCTGGCTGGTGTGGCTCAGTGGATTGAGAGTCAGCCTGCAAATGGAAAGGTCACTGGTTCGATTCCCGGTCAGGGTACAAGCCTGGATTGTGGGCCAGGTCCCCATGTGGGGCTGTGAGAGAGGCAACTGATCCATATATCTCTTGCACATTGCTGTTTCTCTCCCTCTCTTTCTCCCTCCCTTCCCATCTCTCTAAAAGAAAAGAAATCCAAACCAAAAAAATTTTTAACTTAAAATCACACTGCTCTCCTTTAAAGCACAAAGCTTCCGTGGGGGACATCTTCTTTCACTGAGTCAGATTTTAGAACAATGTTATTTCAGTAAGTGAAAAATGTTTCCCTGTGAGCAGTACTAGCAATGAAAACTAATGGAGAGCACCCATGTGAAGCTTAGGAAGGCATCTTTTGTAGCTTTCCCCCAGCTAAGGGCCAAGTGGCTCAGTGGCTCATGAGGTCGGCCTCGCCTGCACTTCCGACCCCCTCCCTGCGGCAGGTCACAGAAGGGTGGCGGGGCATCCGCAGGGGCCCGAGATGTGATGCACCCTCAGAGTAAAGTGGAAAGCAAAAACCAGGCCGTCCGTTGTAGAGGTCAGCGCTTGATTCCTGAGATGCCACTGCACCTCGAAAGGTGCCCTGTGTAGCACGGGTGACGTTCGCACCTGCTCGGAGGCAGCGCAGTGCCCCGTGGGTGCATCGCTCCCCGGGGGGCCCCTGGTGAAACCTTGGGAGAGGAACAACGGCGGGGGCTTAGCTTCGGGGAGTGAATTTCTGACCGAAACCAGGAAATCAGTGTTTTCTGCATTCCTCGTCAGGGTCATTTGCCCCTGGAATCGTTTGCTGCAGTCTGTCAAAAAGACGGATCTTGGGACAAACCGATGCCGGAATGCAGCAGTACGGTCACGTGAGCACAACTCCCAGGCCCGCCTGCTGCTGCCGCTGCCCCCGCTGCCCCTCCTGGTTCTGTTTAGAAAGGCTTCTGTTTATCAGGCTCCAGCTCCAGATCTGCCTCTCTTCCCCGGGCTCCGAGGACTCTTGAGGTTAAAAGGAAACCGAGCCAGCCGGACAATCATTTGCTTGCAGAGTGTGATCTTTCAAAGTATTTTTTCTAAGTGTAAAATGCTTGTGGAAGAGGGGAGAGGGGATGGCACTGCAGTACTCACAGTCCCACCGTACGCACTGTTCCGGCGCTCTTTCCTCCGGTTGCACGCCTCTCACACGTGCACGCGTGGGCTGGCTACTGCGGTCGAGATGAGGGCGATTGTGAGTGTACACCCCCCCCCCCACACACACACAAGCTGGGGCAATGGTGTGCATTACCGCTTTGTGAATTAAGAATCACATATCTTATTTTTATAGTGTCTTTCCAATGATAAAAATACGTTAATTGGGAAAAATATGAATTTATAGAACGTTCTTGCCCAAATCCCCAAACCACCACGAGAAGTTTGGGGCCCACCCCCCTTCATGTTCTTTATCTCTGATGCTAGCTATACTAATGTATTTCACGCTTTGCCCTCTCTTTTCCAACCTGGGAAGTTTAGAAAGTCACAGGTGGCACACGCGGGCTGTAGAAACGAGCTACAGAGACAGACGGAGGAAGCGCCCTCGGGGCTCAGGCGGGAGGGAGGCCCAGGCCGCCTGCCTGGGGAAGAGGGAAGGGAGGGCTGGCGGTGCGCGGGAGGGGGAGAGCCGGTCCGGGTAACAGGTAACCGGGTGCTTCCTCCCACCTCCCTCGTGCTCCCCCACTCCCGGCGGCGGGCCGTCAGCAGGGCCGCCCCTCCGTAGCGCCAGGCCGCACAGTGTGTCGCACACGCACAACGCTTTTAGTCGTTGCTTTGTCGTTCCCCGGTTTTCCCGACTGCGCGCCCCGCTGTAGTGCACACCCGTGCACACACGTCTTTGCACCGTTGGTGCGAGATGTTTACAGACTGCCCAGGGGAACTTCGTATTTTCACCCCATAGTTGGCATTCCCACCGAGTCTTCTAGTGGAAAGGGCAGCGCGGCCCCTTTCCCGCGGGGTCGTCCCGGGCGCCTCAGCTCCGGACGGTTAGACCGGGAGGCACAGTGCTTGGCACAGAGCCAGGCACACAGATGTTAAGTTGCTGGAAATTATTTAAATGTAATTTTTCTAATATCCTCAGAAATACATCATCAGTCTTTACGTCCCCTGTGTGGCGACCTTTTAGACTGAGGGCCCTGTCTCGCAAATGGGTTAGTCATTTCACCGTGGCAGTGTCCCAGGTGGGAATTCTTGTCCAAAGTCAAGGCTCCCAGGTCTTGGGAAAAGCCCGGTCTCTGACAAGGGCCCTAAGAACGGGCTGCACCCGAGTGCCCTTTGTATCGCTGTGTCCCGAGCCCCGGGGTAAGGCGGCCGGGACTGCACAGGGACCTGCAGGCCACCTGCCTCCTCCCTTCTGAGGGGCTGCAGCCTTCGGGCTGGGAGTGGGCGCCACGGGAGTCCCCACGGCTCCCAAGCCCCTTCAGTCAGGAAAGGCCTGCACCACCGCTGCAGGGGCCTCGCCTCCACCTGGCCACCTGGCCACCCGGTCACCCCGTCAGGAGCAGGGAGGAGAGGGGTGCCTCCGAGTCGGCCTGACGCCATCTCTGCTGTGAGACCGGGCGCACGCCGCTCCCCGCGCAGGGACACTGACACCCCCCCCCCCCCCCCGTGCTTCCCAGTTGTTGACTGCGGCCCTCCCGAGGACCTGCCCCACGGCCGGGCGGAGCACGTCACAGGCCCCGACGTGACCACGTACAAGGCCGAGATTCGGTACCGCTGCACCGGGGCCTTCTACACTGTGAGGACAGATGACGGTACACACGCTGTCCCGAGCTGGGGGCGGGTGCTATTTGGGACCGAGGCCTCCGTGACCTGGAAATAAACTTGAACCAACATTTCTGGCTAAGGCTACAGAAAAGATTAAAAGGCACTTCGCCCACCAGCTAAGTGAAATATTACAGCCGAAGTGACTTTAATGTCAATTTGCAAGAATCGGAAAACAGATCTTATCTAGTAAATGACTACTACAAACACACAATATATTCCAAATGGTTTAATTTAACAAGTCAAAACCTTATCATTAAGCACTCGAGATCCTGATACATATTCAAGTTACACTTCTAAAAGGTTTCCACTTTGCAAGCAAACATGGTAATGCAGAGACCTCTTATTTACGAAATCATGTAAAATGGTTATTCAGACACCTCTACTTCCCACTGATGCTCAAGAATCAACATTTTTCAAGGGGTATTCAAGCAAATGACAACCACCGTATACATGCAGTCAAACATTTTTGCTTTCCCAACCATTTGCAGGTAAATACGTGTGTGAGGCTGATGGATTCTGGACGAGCTCCAAAGGAGAAAAATCACTCCCAGTCTGTGAGCCTGGTAACGGACCCTTTCAGATAAGAGACCCGTGACTGATGGCAGGCAGGACTGGGTGGGGGACAGTGAGCGCGCTTCGGCTGTGGCAGGCAGACACGTGCCTGGGCCGCCGGCCCCAGGCCAAGCCACCATTCCCCAGTGATACGCTCTCCTTGTCCCCTCTCCGCAGGGAGAGGCGGTCGGGTGCCGACCGCGTCAGTCGTTAGATTATTTTGGCTTTACAACTAGGCAAGGATAAAAAATTAAATGATTTTTAAAATCTCGAGCCATTTATACATTTATAAACACGAGCTCCTCTGCTACTTCTGTTAAAAATGCTATTAAAACCCAAAGCTAATAACTTCATTATTTCCCTAAGCAATTGTTTTCAATGACATCTAGTTTTTAAACATTAATGCAATTTGCCTTTTAATAGTACTTAAAATTTTTTTCAACCAGAACTGGCTTTGAACATATAGTTGAGTAGAGAGATTAAAAAAAAATCAGAAAGGTAATCATATATTAATTAGTCCTGTGTTATTTGGCTTAAATTAGTTCTTTCATCTCAGCTGACACGACTCAGGGCTCAATGCAAGTATTCTGCCACAACAGGAACCATTTGTTACATTGACGAGTGGATTTCCTTAGTAACATACAGTAGGACTTAGTGTTTTCAAGAATCAACTAGGTAACAAATAACTTCTGAACGTGAAGGTTCCTGGCCACAATTGCAACATTCTAACCTTTGAAACACTGCAACAATGTTCAACAGGGAACCTCCTCTGGCCAATCCTAGGCCAGTGGCCTGGGCACCTGCTGTCTGGAACTGCAGAGCCGACAGCCCAGTTTAGCCCAGTTTAGAAGTAGGAAAACCAACCATGAAAAGGTTGTTTCCTTTCACTTCCTACACTCGCATCACCCAGCGGTCAGCTCAGACACTTCCTGTCTGCCCTATTAAATTATTTCTGCAACTGTGTAGACCAGTCTTTTTTGGAAAACAAGTTCATTTCTAAAAGACATTTTCACTCACCTCATTTTCTGAGGAGCTAAGAACTGCCACCTGGGCCTCTGGACTGGGCGGCTTCCGAGTGCTCTAACTTGCCCGTACAGGTGGGCACCCACCACGTCCCGTGATGCAGTCTTGGGTTCACACCACAGCCCCAGAGAGGGAGCTGGGGAAGCGCACCACTAGGTCTCTACAAAGGCTCTGTGCATCTGCTTCTTTCCCCAGTTTGCGGAATGTCTGCCCGTACCGGAGGAGGTCGGATATATGGAGGGCAAAACGCAAAGCTGGGTGATTTCCCTTGGCAAGTCCTGCTATTAGGTGACACGACCGCAGCAGGTGCACTTCTGCATGACAACTGGGTCCTGACAGCCGCCCATGCGGTGCACGGGCACAGAGAAGACGCCTCCTCCCTGCACATCCGTATGGGCACGCTGAAGAGGCTGTCCCCTCACTACACTCAAGCCTGGGCAGAGGCCGTGTTTGTGCACGAAGGCTACACCCACGGCGCCGGCTTCGACCACGACATAGCATTGGTTAAACTGAAGGACAAAGTCGTAATCAATAGCAACATCATGCCTATCTGCCTGCCAACAAAAGCAGCCGAGGCCTTCATGAGGACAAATGACACTGGAACTGCATCTGGATGGGGACTGACGGGCAGGGGTCTCCCTGCCAGAGGCCTGATGTACGTGGACATACCAGTAGTTGACCATCAGAAATGCGCCGCTGCCTACGCAAAGGAGCCCCACCTAGGGGCGCGGGTGACTGATAACATGCTGTGTGCCGGCCTGGAGTGCGGGGGCAAGGACAGCTGCAGAGGTGACAGCGGAGGGGCCCTAGTGTTTCTAAACAATGACACACACAGGTGGTTTGTGGGAGGAATAGTGTCCTGGGGTTCTATCAATTGTGGGGAAGCACAATCATATGGTGTCTACACAAAAGTCACTAACTACATTCCCTGGATCAAGAAAATAATCAGTAACTTTTAATTTGTATGTCTTCAGTTAGTTATTAAAAACAAACCTGTAAAAGATCTCAGTAGCAATGTGACCTGAGAAACATTAATATAGCCATTGTCGCCCCACAAAAAAACCGAAATCAAATTACCAGTGCCAGGCCCCCCAGCTCTCCACCCTCCCCGCTTTGATTTAAGGGGCGTAAACCATCCCAGCGATGCGTATTCCGTCATCTTCGTCAGCGCAACGGGAACTCACTGGTTAAACTTGCACTGAATTACTTACAAAGTCCAGTATCTTTTCGTACTGGCCTTTTTGTTGGCATTCCTAGATAGTGCCTTTATTATGTTCTTGGAGTATTTTCCTAGTATTTTTGGACTTGTTCTTATTGATCTTTGAGAGCTTTATATATTACAGCAGTACTGGTTCAAGAACAATCTTGAATCCTGGGTTTTTTTTTTTTGTAGATGAACATCTATAAAACCACCAATACTTTAGTCTAGGCACTGATTTCCAAGTTAAAAACCAATACCACAAAACAGTGATATATAACTTTTCACTTATTAAATTGGCAGACAAAAAGAACACGGAATAGCACTATTCATTGTCAAAGACAACAAAAATTTTCTCAAGGACAATTTTGCAATATAGTTCAAAAGCCTTAAAAGCATGCATAGTCTTTTACCTAGTAATGCCAATGCTAAGAATTTAATTAGGCATAAGGCTGACCCTAGTACTTGGAAGTAACCTACATTAATATCCAAGTTCAGAAGACGATCGAATTAAATGTGGCATTTCCGTAAGATGAACTACACCACCAGAAAGAAATGGTGGTGTTGTAGGTCGATCTGCAGTTCTTCTTCTTACAATGAACAAGGGAACGGGGCGCACTCGGCCAACGACAGATCCCACAACAGCTGAGCAGAGAGCACCCGAGCACACAACTAAGAGCTACTGTCCTCGTCCTCAACAACAAAAACATGTTAACTGTTACGTAACATCTTCTGGACTAGGAAGTTAACCTCTTTTTCCTAAGGACAAAATTTAAGCTCTGGCATAACCTTAAAAATCTCACTTCACTTCCGCTGGCCAGTCCTTCCTAGAAAGCTGCAACAGCTAACATCCAGCAGTTTTTCGTTCCAGCCAAGAGTCACCACACATTTAAAAATTCACTGAGTTTTGTCCTAGTTTCTCTTGTGCATATGAAGTGCGACTTCTCGAGACTCACTTTTTCAAGGTAATTTGACAGCATCTTTGTCACATAAAAAGGAAGCTGCTTTCCCAGTAAGACTCCAGACACTAAACTGTGGTGGCAACAAAAATTTTTATTCAACTGGTTCAAAAAATTTTTAGAATGAATGCATTTAGGTGATCAAATAGACTTTAAAAACAAATCTTTGCCAAATAGTTTACTTCTGAACTTCAAAAAAAAAAATTTAGGGCAGAATTAAATCCCCGTAGCTGGGTGTTACCACAGACACGTTAGCAGAAGGCCGCTCGACACGGAAGGCCTTCTGAGACCGGTAGCTAGAGGTGCACACGTGTAAACAGGGGTGAAAACCATGCCATCGACGAGCGAACTTACCCCGGGCTCCTTGAAGGCTGGCCAGTTTAGTCTTTGGAGGTCCCGATAGCATTTTAAGTGTTACCATGTTACTGCTGCTGAGTAATAGTGCAAGTGCTAAAATGCAAAATTCAGATGGTACAGGGTTTGGAAATCATGCAACTTAGATGCAGAAAAAAAAATTTAAACAACGCAAGATCCTTTTACAGAAGAAAACTGGATAATGAAACAATGTGGCGATCACAAGTCTAAAGGATGACTTATAAAAGTTAAAACACCTAACTTGCAAAAAACCTATTTATCATACTCTAATTAGATAATTAGGCAAACTATCAACACAAAAATTGTTACATTCGTCCATTAGAAAACAAGCTCAACTCTCATAGTAGTTACATAGAAAGTACAATAGAGAATCAATATATTATTGCTTTTACATACTTAACAATGCATCGTGAGAGTCTAATCTGAGTTTTGTAAACGGTTTTATTCAACATTTCCCCCACCTTTGGAGGACAAAGCCCATTTCACTTAACATTTCCACAGACAGACTGCCCACCACCCTGCTAGTTCTTAAAGCTATCAAGCTTCTTAATGGATTTCAGGCACAAGATAATTTGTGGTTTCTTCTACTTTATCCCTATTGCAATTAATTCCACTTTTCAAATCCCAAACTAAAAAGGCGCTGATATTCCCTTCTTTTCAATTGATGTGCTTTGCTACAAAGCATTTAAGAATAATTAACACTGTTTTGCCCACTCCCCCAAATAAGATTATTGTTAGAAGGCATGACTGATTCCCTAATGGAGATTTGTACAGGCCAGGAAACAGAACATCACCCAAATGCACAGAGGCACTAAGGAAAAACTGGAGGGTACTGCTTACCATTTTAGGTGTGGTCACCCAGACTTATTAAAAACTAGATTTAAAAAGAAAAAAAAAACTTTTCAGTTTAGACAATGCAAGAACAAATAGCAATTAAGTCTGGGTATCAGGTGTCAATGCATGACAGGTGATGAATCCATCTGACTTGAGACAACTTTTGAAATAAGTTTATTTGAAGCAAAATAAACTATTGCCAAGAAACTTTATGAAAGTTCCATCTCAAAAGGGTCAAAAAAGGGGAATTAACTGCTATGAATTCTTTGCATTCAGGGCTGCAAAACAAAGACACATATTATTTAAATCAGTTTTATTTAGGAATTTCCAATATTGACAACTCTTATAAAAGCATCCAAGCACAGGACACAGAACTGCAGCAAACAGCATTCTTAGGGGCAGCTAACAGACATTGGAGCTTCCACCCTTCTTTGAGACACCCCCAGCTCCCTGGTGCACTCTGCTTCCAAGTACTCCTGCAAAGCACACCACAAGCTCAGTCCATGTTCTCAGCCCACCAGCTTCAGTTCACATTACCACACTTACAGGTCAGTGACAGAGGAGAACACACACCATACAGCATTCACAGCAGTTGACAAAGGGGTAGGGGAAATACAAGTATCGTTTCACTTAACACATTCAACTAGCGTGGGTCATCTAAGAACAAAACGCACTTAAAGTCTTCCAGCAGATGTGCATGTCCTTTGAATGCAAGAAACATTCGTACGTTATCTGCTATCATTGCTCTCCGCACACTCTCTCACCAAAGCCACAGGATGGAGAGACACATCGCGCCAAGATAAAAAATATCCATTTTGCACCACCGTCTGCGCACGCGCTCTCGCCTTTCCTCGCTCATACTCGCCTTTCATGCCTCGGCACCACCATCAATCCCACACAAGGTTTCAGAAGTGCAGACAGCCTTCTGGTTCCATATCACAGCCTTGCGTGCACAGCGTTGATACGACTCCATGAAATAAAGAGTAGCGGATAAAAATGGGACACCCACCGTCAGAGACGCGGCCCGTGCAGTGTGATGACCAAATCTTGAATGAGAAAGCATGTGGACAGAAGTATTCCTATGGCAGAGTATTTACAGCACTACTTTCAATGAAGTGCTTCTTCCATAAACATTTGAAATGAGATGAACTGCAGAGATTAAATGAAGGCTTCATATTGTACTTTTGCATATGAAGGGAGACAAGTGTTAAAAACAAAAACGAAAGAACCAAACACTGGGACACTGTGATCTCCAAAAAGGAGACATTCCTAAGGAAAAATCCATGTGGTGGGGTTCAAATTAAAACGAGCAGAAAAGAATGTAGTTCTAATTAATGGTTTCCATTTTGAACATGCAAAGAATTCACTTGACGAGTCCAGGGATAAAATATTACAGGAGAAACCTTTTGATATCAATTGTAGTGTGTTGGTTTACCCATCAGGCAAACAGCAGTTCACTTTCAAACACTCAATATTGCAACCCTTTATGTAACAAAACTTATAAAATTCCTTTAGCTCTTCCTCTTTTTCTAAAGAAAAATGTCAAAAATACTGCTGAATATACTCCACACTGAACCACCAAATTTTGAAAATTCTCAGTACATATGTATTTTACAATATACTTACCATGAGTTTAGAAAAATTTGAATTCCCACCAGTCTGTACAACCGTCACCCGCTGCCTACATTCCCCAGCTAGAAGGTTTAGAATCCATGCTTGAGCCGAAGCCTCCGTTAAAACCACTGCCTGACCCTGCATTTGAAGCTGACCCCCAACCAATTGCTGCACCTGAATTAGAACCACTATAAGAGTTATTTCCAGACCCAAAGGCCTGATTTGGCTCCCTCTGCATGTTGCCTTGGCTCTGATTATTGCCTGACGGGCCCGACTGGTTCTGCTGACTAGCTAACATGCCCATCATGCCCCAGCTGCTCTGCAGGGCTGCCTGGGCTGCGGCCATCATCGCTGGGTTAATGCTAAAAGCTCCGAAGTTCATCCCTCCACCCATGTTACTACCCTGATTGTTTCCCAAGCCAGCTCCACCCCCTCTGCTGTTACCAAAGCCACCCTGATTCCCAAAGCCACCCGGATTACCACCAAATCTTCCACTTCTTTCTAACTGTCTATTGCTATTGTGCTTAGGTTCAGCATTGGATATGTGTACGCTGATTCCTTTAATGATCAAGTCCTCTCCACAAAGAGACTGGGCAACCTATAAGAAAATAAGGGATGCAAATAAAGGCAATTAAACCACTGATTTGAACATCAAAGTAGCAGTAAAACTTAAGATTTCAAACCATCCTGTTCACTAGAGGGAAAATAAACAATGAACACTCATTTAATTTAAACTCAAAATAACCTTTAGCTTTAGTAATGGCAGCAAAAATTTCTCAGTTTACTTTGTAAAGGTATGTAACACTTCCAGTTAAACACCACATACTGAAAAATAGTAAAGTGTTCATCATCACAAATATCTAGGCCCATATACCCCACAGCTTACAAGGTCAGAAAGCTTAGCTAAGTAAGGATGGCAATTAGCTGGACGGGAAAAGTTCAAGAGAAATTATCTGATCACTGGGACAAAATTATTAAAGAGAAAAATACCTGATCATCTGCAAACGTAACAAAGGCAAAAGCCCTGAACGGCTTGGGAATGAAGACGTCCACCACTTCCCCGTACTGGCAAAAGAACTGCCGCAACTCGTCAGCGGTCATGTCCTCCGTGCAACGCCCGACGAACACCTTTCTGCTTCTCAGGGGCTCGTCTGGGCTTTGCTGATCAAACGCAAAGGTAGGAAAGACATCAGAAATATTTTATGAGCAACGAAAAGGGCATTATGGTGGAGGATGTAACAAAATCTGTTTGCCTTTTATGTTAGGTGAATCATTAAAAAGTAGGTACATTCTTGTTTTTTTGCATTAGCACTCCTCTTTCTTGTAAGACTTTGATGACGAATACAGTTTTAAAGTTTAAAGTTCATGAAAGCATAATTAGATCTAGGAAAGTCAATGACTTAATGTCCTTGGAAGAATAATGTTCCAAGTAAGCAAGTCTTGCTTGCTGGGAGCCAGTTAGGCCTTTGTACCAAGATTACTATACTCTGATTATCTTGTGCTTTAACATTTAACTATGTAAAAATTGTTAACTCTCTAGAAATAACGAGAAAAGAATAAAATGAACAAAGTTTACTTTAGAGGGATAATGAACTAAATATTTCAAACAATCATAAATTATTCAGCATGCATTAAGGTCCCAAGGCTTTCACCAGGCAACAGACCTCCAGAACGCATCCTGACCCTGTCTTTTTTCCAAGCGTATTTAACACTTTATTTTGTAGTGTCTTCTAAGGAAGTCTGTCAGCAAAAGCTCCCCAAGTGGGAGGAGGAGGGAGAAGCAAAGTACCTTGGAATTGGGAAGTTTGCAGTCACACCACCGTCCGTCTATCATATGTCGCTGTGACATCACTTTCACCTGGGTTTCGTATTCCGTGAATCGAACAAAGCCAAACCCTTTTGAATGACCGGTTTTAATATCTTTCTTGACCTAGAAAAAAATCATTTAAATTTACTGAAACAACACATACACACACAACCCAATGAGAGTTCCCTGACAGTGCGAACAGCTTCAACTAGATGCAGTGGCTTAACTAAAACTCAAACCAAGTTGTTCTTGAGGTAAGAGCAACAGGAGGGTTAACACTGAAATAGATCCTGTTCATAGCAGAGTAAAACTCCTTTTGCTGTAGAACTCAACACAAATGTTTTAGAATGCAAAGATAAACTAGAGTTAATATTTACAAATCTTAAAAATACCGTCCGCTGGGCAGAAAGGGCAGTGCCACTGAAACAGGAATCCGGGTGTTCCTGCTCTGAGAAAGAAAAACCGCCCGAGGCCACGGAAGCCCACCTGGACCATGAGCACCTCCCCGAAGGTGCTGAAGTACTCCTTCAGGTCCTGCTCGGTGGTCTTCCACGGGAGGCCCAGCACTATCAGGTCGGAGGTCTTCTGGACGGCCCTCTTCACCTTCACCGCCGATGAGGCGTCCGTCTCATCCATTTTTCTCTTGTTATCTAAACAAAACGAGCAGAACCCTTTCAGAGCTCTTCCCTGAACACGTCTTAAGACACACTGCCTCCTATACCTAGGGGTGAGAAGCAAAAAGATTCGAAGAACGTAAAGATGTGTCAGCTCTCGGCAAAGGGTGGCGCCAGCTCTGGAGGACACGGCGTGGGGCTGAACCAGGCAGGCGGCCAAGGCGCTCCCCAGTGCGGACCCCGGGCCGCGAGCCTCTGGGTCTGCGGCACCACGCGATCGCAGACGCGCACTCTCCGCTCTCAAGTGGAGTCTCAAAACCGAAATCGCTCTACTCCACTCTGACTTTAAAATACATCAAGGGGGAAAAACAGGTTAAGAAAGTGTAATTACCACCTTTTTGCCTAGTAAATGTATTTGCTTAATTATTTGAATGCCTACAACTTAAAAGGCTATATGCCAAATAATAATAATAAAATCCTCAACTTTTATCTCTAGCTGTGGATTTAAGGGTGATTTCAATTTTCATTTTCTTTTTCCCCCCTAAACTTTCAACAATAAACTCACATTAGTTTTGTGATATAAAGAAAAAGCCAGCCCTGGCTGGCGTAGCTCAGTGGATTGAGCACGGGCTGGGAACCAAAGTGTCGCAGGTTCGATTCCCAGCCAGGGTACATTCCTGGGTTGCAGGCCATAACCCCCAGCAACTGCACATTGATGTTTCCCTCTCTCCCTCTCTCTCCCCGCCTCCCTTCCCTCCCTAAAAATAAATAAATAAAATCTTTAAAAAAGAAAAAAAAAGAAAAAGCCTTAGGTTATTTTTAAAAACTAAACTCTGAAAGGAGAGGAGAGGAACTAAGCGGCATTTAAAAAAACAAACTTCTCTGAACAGCCTTAGGCTCTCAGCAGAACGGAGGGGAAGGCAGATCTCCCACAGAGCGCCCTTCCCCCACACGTACACCGCTTCCCTGTCACCAGCGTCCCCCCTACGGTGACGCATCTGTTACAAAGGGTGACCCTGCACTGACACGGCACTATCTGCCCTGATAATTATTTAAATACATGGTTCCCACTTCAAAGTCACTCAAACCAGGGGCCTTACGCACTAGCCCGACAGCAACCTCTGTCAGATGAAACGCTGGGGGTGCAGGAGACGCCGCACCGCCAACAGCGGTCGTGATCCACGACTCGCAACGAGACACAGACCCGACCGCACCTCAGCTTATGGCAAAACGAAGCCGCCACAAACCTTTGGGATAGTTGACAACGTACACCAGATTCCCCCAGCCGTTGTCTGGGGCGTGCAGGATCCCCTCCACCAGCCGGACGCCTCGCATGCACTGGGACACGGGGTTCCGGTAGCGCAGCCCACACGCCCCCGGGAACTGGGCCGTGACCGTGGACAGCAGCACCGTCCCATCGTCTTCTGACGGTATCTCAATGGGCTCGTCGTTTTCATCTTCCGTGACCCGAATATATTCAGACATCTTCTACGGTCCCTTAAATGGGAAAGAGAGACACATGACCGACACTCGCGTCCAAGGGACTGTTTCCTTACCACCGGCTGATCAGTACCCCTGCCATGCCATTGTTCTCGGGCCTGTAGGGATGTTTTTGCTGTTTGGGTTCTTACAACGCGCTGGCGATCCCCGAACCGCTAGGAGGCCAGGACAGTAACCCCATAACACTGTGAAGCCGTGTTAGTTCATTCACTCAACAAACATGTGCTGAGGGCCTGCTCTGCGTTCGGCAATGACAACTGCGAGGCCAACGGGCTCGGGTGGCATGCTGGTTACAAGGGGGGGGGCGGGGGGGGATGACAGCAGACAAGTGATGATCTTATTACATCGGGATGTATGGACTGGAAAGTAGTGCATGGTCTTGGGCGGGGGGGGGGGGAAGCTGGGGAGAATCACCTAAGCCGGTTCAAGCGCGTGTGTGGAGGGGAAGCTGAGCCCTAGGACTGAATGGGAGCAGCGAGCCAGGGCAAGAGAGCAGGGTAAAAGTTCCTCCCCGTGCCTCATTTCGGGACTTCCGGGGGCCCTCCAAACTTCAGCGTGAAGGACAGCGGCGACACGGCTTGCACACGCGGGCCGCCACCTCCCAGAAGCCAGTAAGTGACAGCCGAAGTGGGAGTAGTTAGGCGCGGCCTGGGCGGGGCAGCAGGGGCCCGCGGCCTAAACTGACAGCGTCCCCTGGACCGCAAAGTGCGGAAGGCGCCAAGCCCCGCCCGGGGGGCCGAAGTCGGGCCAAACCTTTGCCTGGGGCTGCGCGGCCCCGCCGGCCCCGCGTCCCTGCCCCGGCGCCCACTGACACCCCGCGCCAGGTCCCAACGACGCTCCCGCGCGAGCCCGCTCGGGCAGGACCCGGCAGGCCCAGGCCCCGGGCGGGGCCCGGGCCGCCGCGTCCTGCTGGGGCAGCCGTGCGGGAGCGAGGTACACAGGGCGTTCTCGGTGAGCAGCGTCCGCCACTCACCCGCTACGCCGCTGACAGGAGGCCCGACAGGGAAACTCAGGCAGCCAGGGATCCAGGGGCAACCACCCAGTTACCGCTTCGCTCCCACAAAATGGCGCTAGGGCCGCCTCCTCCCCCCGACGGCCGTCGTCCTCTCCCACCGGCTCCCCGTCCAGAGGGGGGGGCCGCCGCACGGAGAAGCCGCAGCCCTTTCCCCAGCGAGTTAGGGCTCCCTCCTGGGAGCCTGAGCATACGCAGCAGATGTGACAGGTAAAACAAGGCCAGCACCCGGGACTGAAAAGCTAAACGTTGGGAAAACATGGATGCGTTGGCTTTACCTCCCCCCACGTACCGTGGCAGACGGTTTCGCCCAACCAACGACCGTCCCCGGCTCCCCGGCGGCGCTCGCGCACTTTCAAAGTGCGCGAGACTAGCGCAGAGGCCGGAGCAAGTGAAGGCAGGGGTGGGGCCCGGCGGAGTTGGGCGGGGTCTGGCGGGAGTGGGCGGGGCTTGGAGGGGATGGGGCGGGACCCGGCGGGGATCGGGCGGGGGCCTGGGTACCTCCCCACCTTCCCGCAGTTAGGGAGCGCAATAGAGACCAGGACCCTCCTCTAAGAAGCCCGTTGGGTGTGTTCTCTTTTTCCTCCCCTAGCCGTCCTCCACACCTGGAAAGAGTAACTTTCTTTTATACGATAGCAATGATCGCGCCTACTATGTACCAGGTGCCTTCTAAATAGTGTGCTCACACATTTAATTCCCCGTACAGTCTTGTGTGGTAGGTACTACTGACATGATTCGCATGCACAGATGAGAAAACTGAGGCACAGAGAGGTTAAGTATCTTGAATAAGGTCATCCAGGTGGTGGACCTGGGATTTGAACCCTAACCCTAATATTCACATATCTTAGCTCCAGGCCTCTAATGGCAATAGTGTGCTTCATCTGTGTTAAAACATGCCTTTTGTTTCACATTTCTGAATATGTGCTTTCAGTTCCAGTTCCACTGATGACGTGCCCTAGTTTAACTGGCAACAATTTTAATTTCGTTGGGTATAGATGCATCAGCTTCAGTGAAACACAGTGATACCAAAGTGCTTTATATTTATGCGTGAACTCATTTAATGCTCAGAACAGCCCAGTGAGGTAGGTGCCTTGTTATCATTCCTGGTTTACAGGTGAAGAAATAGAGGGGCAGAGGTTAAGTAATCTTGCCCAAGCTCATAGGGCTAGTAACTGGTGGAGCTGGGATTTGAACCAGGCAGTCTGGGTCTGTAGTGGGTGCCCCCTGCTTCTTACAGCCTCCTAGGGAATCAGTATTAAGTACTTCAAGTCATTCTCTGGTGCCTGCTGTTCATGTTAACCAGGTCATGCCTGGACCAATTGGAGATATAGGGAGGAGGGAACAGAGGCAGACAGAATGAATGACCTTTACCTTCCCCCTCACCCAGGGATAGCCTTGCATAAAGGGGGCATGGCTGAGCAGATGGCCCCTGGTGGTCCTCCATGTTTCAAAACACTAGACAAAGCAGGGAGGTCTGCATCATGTCAATCCACCCAGTTATTTGGTGGGGGGTGGGGGGCAGGGGGAGGTGGCGAGGCGGGGTAGTTTTATTATCCCCTTTTTGCAGAAGAAGAAACTGAGGTCTGGAAGCCATGTGACTTGCCTGAAGTTACACATTTGTCCAAAAATGTCACCCAGCGTATAAATTGCTATCCGGAGTTTGTCAGACCCTGAAGCTCTCTGCTCCATCCACCTCCTTGGGCCCTTCTCTGTGACAAGACTGGGACTGAGGCATTTAGTGTAGGCAGCTCTGTGGATGCCTGCGGCAAGTGGGCGGAGCTGGGTATGCAGATGCTGGGGAAAGGTCACGCAGGGACAAACCCACAAAGGCTGTCTCTTCCACCAGAAGTTTTCAGGGGAGGTGGGCAGCCCAGCAAACACAGTCTTGAAGATGGTAAATACCTACTTCGGGAAAGGAATCGGTCAGGCCAGAGGGAGGTTGGACAACGCATTCCTACAGGACCCAGCTGAGTGCGTCTGTGGGTTTCAGCCTTACAGTGCTGGCAGTCGAAAGTTCGCCTTGTTAGACATGAGTTTTGTAAGTTCTCTTGGTCTGTTTGCTGGTTGGTTCATACCCCTTCTGCATTAAGCCTGAACGTTATTAGAGGGCCCAAAGGTATCTATTCTCACCCATCTCCTTTCATCTGAGCAGCTATTACATGCTTTCTGAAGGTAATGGATCAGAAAGGGTTTGCTGAACTCTTACCCCTCACCTCATGCTGTGCTAAAATTACACTGTGAAGACACACGACACAAAAGCCAGCCAGGGCTTGGATGGAGCAGTCTGTAGCCCAGAAGGGAGTGGGCACAGAGAACAATTGGAAAACAGTTCCAGGAGGCGTCAGTCACGTGGGTGCCAGTGTGGGGCAGATGCTGAGGGACTGAGGGGTTCCCCAGCTGCTGCCTTTGGCAGCGGGCGCGGTTTGGCTTCCAGCATACAGATAGGGATTCTCAACGGGAAAGAAAAGGTACTGGGTAGAAAAGCAGAGAACTGGGAATGGGCCCCAGTTTGCAGCAGGTCCTCGGGCGTGCCTCCTCACCTCCCAGCCCGGCCGGCTCCTTAAAGTGGACGAGCATTCCTGAGAACCGAAGGAAATACCAAGGCAATAAACGCGTCGAAAGGAAAGTCACTTTATCAAGAATTCATTTTCTCTTAATTTCTATGTTTTTACATCCCATCAAAATTAGGAGCTGCCTCCCCAACCGGTCTCAGTCTAATTTAGATGTTATTACATTTTTTTTTTACTCTGAATAATTTATAATTGCACGAACAGTAGAAAGGACTCCTATGTGTCCAGATTCATTTTGTCACATTTGCTTTATCGCTTCCTCTCTCTGTAGACATATGAAATAATAATAACATATATATCCCAGTCCTGTACCTTTGTAAAATTCAGGAACTTCAATAGCAATATATATAACACAGGTTCTAAATGTTGGGCAGGAATACCACGAGAGCGATGTTGTGCCCTCCTTGTGTCACAGGTCAGGCGGCACAAGACATCGGTTGGTCCTGTGACGGCTGACGTCCCCCTTCATCTGCTGGTTAAGTGGCGTCTGTCCCTGTAAAATTGCCGTTTTCCCCCTTTGTAACTAAATAATCTGGGGGTACCTACCCTGAGACGATCCCCAATGTCCTGCTTGTCTCCACATTTTCAAATGATTTTAGAATCGACTGATGGCTCTTGCCAAATTAGTTATTCCTCGAATGGTTGCAAAATGGTGATTTTCTGGTTCTCTGCAGCAATTCGTGTTTAAATGTTTTATTTTGGAAAAATCTCACACTATGATAAAGTTGAGCAAAAGTGCAACGAACATCAGTATAGCCACTACCTCGATGCAACAGTTTTTACTGTTTCGCCCCATTTGCTTTATCTGTCTATCTTGCCAGCCATCTATTTCTGGCTGGACCATTTCAGAGTGAGTTGCAGTTGTGACATTTCACCTCTGAATACTTTAGCCTGCCTCTCCTAAGGACAAGGACATTCTCCTATGTAACCACAATACTATTATCACACCCAAGAAAATGAACGATTATTTCCTAATATCACTTACTATCTAGTCTATATTCAGATGGCTACAGTCATTCCCCAATATGTATTTTTTTAAGATTTTATTTATTTATTTTTAGAGAGGGAAGGAAGGGAGAGAGAGAGAGAGAGAGAGAGAGAGAGAGAGAGAGAAACATCAATGTGTGGTTGCTGGGGGTCATGGCCTGCAACCCAGGCATGTGCCCTTACTGGGAATTGAACCTGCGACACTTTGGCTCGCAGCCTGCACTCAATCCACTGAGCTACGCCAGCCAGGCCAATATGTCTTTTACAACCATTTTTTTGACGCAGCATCAATTTTCACATGTTGCATTTGGTTTTCATGTTTTTTAGTCTTTCAAAATCTAGAATAATCTCCCCATCCAAGATGTGAACTTTTAAAAAAAATTCTTTATTTTTAGAGAGAGGGGAAGGGAGGGAGAAAGTGAAGGAGAAAAAATCAACATGAGAGAGAAACGTGAGAGAGAAACATCGATCCGCTGTCTCTCTTTTGAGCCCTGACCTGGGACCAGGCCGCCAACCAAGCACGGGCCCCGACCCTAAATCAAACCAGTGACCTTTCGCTTCGAGGAACCGACTGAGCCACATCAGTCAGGGTCGAGATGTGAACTTTTTAAAAAGATCGGGCCAGATAGTTTATAGAACGTTATATGTTCTGGATGATCTGATTGGCTGCCTGTGGCATCACTGTGTTGATTCCTCTCCTTCCCATGTTTCCTGCCACTGGAATTAGGTCCAAAGACACGATCACATGCAGGTGAGACCTGACGGCCAGAGCACTCGGTGGGTGGGGCCACGTGTGTCCCATCGCACTCCATCAGGAACACCTGTGCCTGGTCGTGTCCCTTTCAGTCATGCTAAAGTTGATCTCTTGCTTAGCATGGTGCCCACCGGATCCCTCTACAGAAAAGGTGTGTTTTCTTCTTTGCAATTGGCGAGTAATCTCAGGGCGATGCCTGGGCACAAAGCACATATCCCTATGACCTCCCTGTGGCCTTTCCCTGAAGGGTTTCAGCACCCACCCATGACCCCCACCTGAATCACTGGGGGTGGCGAAATAGCCCATTTCTAAATCCTGTTATTCCCTCTCCATTCTTTTGTAAAGGAGAACTTGCCTTCATCAGCTGGGCGTGAGCTCCAGTTCCCCCAAATGCCCGACTTTGTATCAATTTTCAGAATAACTTGTGGTAACACGTAAATTTTATTTTTTCTTTTTTTCCCCCCGATCATCACTATGAACTCTTGGATTTTATTTATTGAATGTTTTGCAATAGGTTATAGTCATTCGTATTTTCATGATCAAGTTGTCCTAATTATGGCCTGGGGAAACCCTTTAAACTGGCTTTGGGTCCTTTTGCTGTGTCCCCATTAGTCCTGGAGCATGTTTATTTATTTATTAATTTATTAATTTATTTATTTTTAGAGAGGGAAGGGAGGGAAAGAGAGAGAGATGAGAGAGAGGAGAGAGAGAGAGAGAGAGAGAGAGAGAGAGAGAGAGAGAGAGAGAAACATCAATGTGTGGTTGCTGGGGGCCGTGGCCTGCAACCCAGGCATGTGCCCTGACTGGGAATCGAACCTGCGATG